GACCCCGGGCGGGAGGAGCCGCCGCGCCGCGCTTGGAGCCACCGCTCGGTATAACCTCTCCGTCTCACACTGAAATTGCCCGCTTCGCAGCCCGGCTTCCCCGGTTGCTAGGCAGATTTCGCCTCGCACACTTCCGTGTTCAGGCGCGTCTTGCCGAGTGGCGGCGCCGCAGGCCAATGAGGTCCGTCCGGGGCTCCCGGGATCCGCGCCCCACAGGAGGCGTGGCCAGCCTTGCGACGGACAGCGCCCGGTAGCCAATGAGCGCGCTGGCCGGCTCGCCCTCAGGATCGCGCCGGCGGCCTGGGCGGGCCCGAGGAGGTGGGACTGAATGACTGACAGGCGTCCTGCCAATGGTAGAGTGGAGCGGGCCTCAGGGCCAGTCAGAACTCTGTGGGGGCGGGGCTTCAGCATCGGGGCGGGAATGCCGCGAGGGGCGGGGCCTTGGGACGCGTCAATCCGTGGCCAGCTCGCTCGGACCCCAGAGGGCGGTTCGACTGGGCCTCCCGGCGGCCGACAACTAGCTGGGCAGGGGGTTCCCCGCAGTGCTCAGCAGGGGCGCCCCACCCACAATGCACCGGAGGCGGCCTGGGCCTGGCGGGCGTGGAGCGAGTACGCCGGGCGGTGGGCGGGGCTGTGTGAGGCGCGCTCTTAGGAGAGTGGAGCCGTGGCCCGGCCTTGTTCCCTAGGGGGTTCGTTTCTGCTGTGCTCTTTTCTAACTAGAGTTGTGGGTTCGACCTTCCTCTGAGGAGAATCTTGGGGATTATTGCCCCTGACCCCCGTTCTGAGGAGAGTCTTCGGGGTTCTTTGCCTGGCCCCAGTTCTGAGGAGAATCTTCAGGAATCTTACCCTTGGCCGCTCTTCTGAAGAGAATCTTGGAGGTTCTTGCCTTGTCCACTTTTCTCAGGAGAATTGCCAGGATAAGGCTTATTTTGTATATTCTGAACCCCACCTCCCTTTTCTAAGAAAGCCTGGGGCTTGGGCTCCTGCCCCCTTTACTAAGGAGAATTGGGGGAATTCGGGGCCCCAGATTTACTGCCTTTCCCGAGGAGTATTTGGGGAGCATCGCCTGCCTCAATTGAATATTTTCGGGGGCCACGCCCTCTTCTGCCCTTGGCTGAGGAGCCCTAGGGGCTTTGTGCTCCTGGTCTTCATATCTGAAGATAACTTGGGAAATACCTACCTTGTGTGTCCTCTCAACCAAAGGAGAAATTGGGGACTTCAAGTACCTCTCTTCTCTCCAGAGAGGAATTACTGGAGACTGATACCTCCTCATCCCTTTTACTAAAGAAATGCCAGAGAATTGTTGCTCCCTGCACTTTTTCTAAGGAGTATCTGAGTATTGCAAGAAGGGCCCCTTTTCCTAAGAATTGTGACCATTCGACTCTTTCCTAGAAAACTGGGGGGAGTTACTACTTTATTTTTGGAAAAGCTACCCGTTTAGCCCTCTTTCCCCTTTTTTTGAGGGGAGTTTTTCTATGCAGCTGTCTGCTCTTTTCCAAGGGTAAAATCTGTGGCCCCAACTGATCCTGTTTCCTGTCTAGCTCTTCAGCCCCAGTTTCCTTCTCTGCTGGGTGGGGCCCTTCCAAGAAGCATTCCTGTTTTCCACTTACCCCCAGACAAAACTAATCAGTCACTCAAACTCTTGCAACAGTGTTTGCTCCTCTGCTGTAGCAGGTTCCATAGCCTACCAGCTGTTGGAGGCCTTTGCCTCTGTCTTCCCTTAATTGTTCCGAACTTTTTGCCTGATTTTCCCCCCCAAAGAACTCAGCTTTGCCTTTAGTAGGGAACCAGATATTAATTGAATCAAAAGGCTGAAGAAGGCAACAATGAAAAAGACCCACGACACTGTAAATTCAATATGACAAACTTTTATTCCCCTTCCCCCCACCCCACACACACACAGTGCACAGAACTGTGCAAGGTGCTGAGATACCTGAATTATAGGACAGAACTTGTGAGCCAAGATGAAAACAGCAAAGGAAAATAGGCCTGTTAGGCAAGGCAGAATGTTACACTAAAGAGATACCAAGAAAATGTTGTAGGAATGTAGAAGAGGAAGTGATTAAATGATAAATGGATGTGAAAGTGCTTTGTAAACACCAAGCAGTGTACCCCATGGAAAGGATTATTATTGTTACAAGTGGGCTGACATTCCTGTAAGGAAAGTAAAGAATAAATTCTAAGAGTCACAGGAATGGGAAGTTGGCAGGGAGCCCTGTGGGGCCTGACTCCGAGTGAGCTCAGCCTGGACCCAAGTGGCAAGGCTGACAAGAGTCCTTGGCTAGGAAGGAAGCCACTGGAAACATAAAGACAACATGTTCCCAGAGCACCTTGTTTGCACCTCTGTTGTAGCATTTACCACATTCTGCAAGTGTCTGAGGCAGTCTGGATGGTCAATAAACACTTGGACTTTGGTGGCTGGCAGAGCTGGGGTTGAACCCACTCTCTAGGCCAGTTACTTTCCTCAATCATATCAGAAGTGAGAACACCCATCTCTAAAGGTTGCACTGAAAATTGTGAGCTCAAAGTGCCCTGCACCATGCCTGGTGCACAGAAGGTCTCTGGAGGTTTTCCTTTCATTCCAGTCACCAACCAGGATGCTTTCTAAGGGCAGGAATCTAGTCTTACTCATTTAAATAATCCTTCAGTGCTTTTATAGTTGCTGAATTGAACTGGGATCAAAGACCAACTCATTGTCCAACCCCTTCATTTTATACATGAGAAACTGAGAGGCCCTGAGGACAACTGTGACTTGTTCATGTCCCACTGCTACTTTGTGGCTGGATCCTAAACTTGCATTGCCTTAATCTCACTTTGGGCCTCTGTGCTCAAAGGAAAGGAGAGAAAGGGGACCTGTGCCCTTGAGCCCTTGTGCAAAGCAGAGCCTTTTTGAGAACCTAAAACTCCCTGAGCCTTATCGCTCTCTTAGGCGAGTTGTGGAACGTTTCTGGATACAAGCCTAATAGAGTCCCTAACTCAAGAGCAAAGAGCAAGTGAGGGCCCTGACCAGGGTCAAGGCTGCCTAAATTAATTTTGTCAAAGAGAGAGTGCAAAAGAATTGAGGTTTCTTCAGGGCTATCCTGTGTAATTTCCAGACTGATCCTTGGAAATGTCAGGACCTATAATTACATCTCACCTTTTTATTTTAAGAATGCACAGAATTTCTTTGATTCTCTGGAAAAACGCATTGCCTAGAGGTAGAGATATTGGATTAAGGGATGTCCTTGAAGTCTGGAATCCTAGCAAAAACAAGAGTCCCATTGGGCTAGAAAACTGTATCTTCGAAGAATCTAAGGCAAAAGGGCATTTGTCAGAAGGAGTGAAATGCCCCACCAAAATGGATGACATGAGCACAGCTTCTGAAAAAAAACGTAATCCATACTAAAGATGGGCTTCCCTTTCCACAGTGGTAGCAGCGATTGCATCTCTTTGCATCAAGGTGTGTCCCTTCCTGGGTCTGAGAAATCATGTGGGCAAACTGGATAAGTGACATTCACATCCAAATAGGGAAATGGGAGCTGAGCCAGGTGACTGCACAGGCAGCAAGGAAAGCAGGGCCTCAATGGTAGAAAAATGAGGGCCTGATGGGTGCCAATTTGTTTGGTGTTGTGGTCTTGGACAAGGAACAGTGCCCATTGACAATGAAGAATGACAACTGGTTAATATCAATGAGAAGGGTACTAAGCACAAAGGTGAAAGCCCTCCAGTGTCACTCAATGATAGCAGCAGTTTAGTAGCACACAGCAAAGTACCCCCTCCATCTTTGCCTCCTAAGATTCTTGGACTGCATAATTCATATGTGTTTGCCAAGCACTTTGAGGTCCAATATCCGAATTGCTAATCTACTGAAACCTGCATCCTTTGGCATTGGAAATGGCCTTGTTTCTCCCAGGGAAAGGGTGGTAAAAAGTCAGTGTCTGTTTTCATGTTGAGGCCTACAGGCTCCCTGACTTTGGCTTCCACTCAGATAGGGCCAGGCTTGTCCTTCCTGCTGTTGCTGGGCCTCTGACATATCTGCTCATCAAGGCTCTGGTCCTCTTTATGAGAATTTTCTCCCAGATTATTGCCAAAGCACTGACAAGATAGTCAGGAGGAGAGACTTTCTCCTGGACATACAGAAATTATAGAAACCTGTCTAATCAGCATAAATTATCCCCACTTCCTCCCCTGTGTTTGGTGAGAGGGGAAGGGGGGCGGGGGGCAGCTGGTACTGGGTGGCTGGGTGAGCGCTGAGAGGGTGGCTTGGAATGAAAGAAGATACCTAGTGCCTCCATCTTATTTGTTCTTTTGAACAAGCAACCTTTCAAGATTTCACTCATTCATTGCTATAGTCAACCCTCCATATCTATGGGTTCTATATCCTCAGATTCAACCAACCACAGATCAAAAATATTTGAAAAAAAAAAAAGTTATGTTGTTGTTGATGTGTATGTACTAAGTCTATACTTAACAAGTACAGATTTTTTTCTTGTCATTTCCTATACAATACAGTATAACAGCTATTTACATAGCATTTACATTGTATTAGGTATTATAAGTAATCTAAAGATGATTTACAGTATATGGGAGGATGTGCATAGATTCTACGTAAGTACTACTCCAATTTATGTAAGGGACTTGAACATCAGCAGATTTGGGTATCCGTGGGAGTCCTGGAACCAATCACCTGTAGATACTGAGGGACAACTCTAAGTTAATGATTCCACAAATATTTAATGGGCCCCTAACAAGGGCTGGGTACCATAGGATAGAGCAGATAGGTAGAGGTGCCAGGGGAGAGGCATCTTTTGTTCACCCTGACCTTCAGGCCGCCTGTCCCCTTGGCCACAGGCAGCTGCTATCACCAGTCTATCTCTTGCATGTCCCTCCAGAGAGGTTCTATTCCACAAATAGA